AAAAAAAAAAAAATGAATGCCTACTGTGTACAAGTAACGTTTGGAATATGGTAAAACATATGCACATATCAAAGCTTAGGTTCTGGAGGGAGGAAGATATAAAAAATAAGCAATATATCAAACAAAACACTGCAAAGGAGAAAATGAAGTAATGTAATAATAAAGAGATTAGTGAATTTACTCCCTCTGGAGTAAAAAATCTGTCTTTAAATACAGAAATAGGAGAAACCAGGTAGCAGTGATAAAAACTAGGCCTTTGTGTTAAATAAAACTGAATTTAAATTCAGTTGTATCACCTACTACTTGCCCTTGGACAAATTATTTAACTTATCTTAGCCCAGTTGATTCTCTTGTAAGATGGCAATAATGGGTGCTCTCTCTGTTCTAAGGATATTTTTAGAATCATACAAAATAATCCATGAAAATGCTTAACACAGTACCAGACACAGAGCAAGTAATTAATCCTCAGCAGTTATTGTACTGATATGTTTAAAACAGTTGATAACATTTCTTATTAACAGTGTCAAAATCATATCTCCTATGCAGTGATATGAAAAAAATACACTGATTCACTCTACAAATACAAATATAGAAAAACGTAAAGGATTGCTCCACCTAAACTCTTCAAAAATGAGACACAGTCTCCCCCAAAGCTTCCTGCAGTTTGGTTGCTGAAGACTCACGGTGGATTCATACTTTGCAAATTGCCCTTTGCTGAACTGTTTGACTACAGTTATCCTCCCTTCTAGTAGATGCTGGAACGCAAAAGCCAACCTTCTTGTTTCAGTTTGGAGCTAACCATTCTAGTCTCATCGGAGCTCCAGAACTTACTGTGAGAGGCTCACAGACCTTTGTGGGATCTTCTATTTCCCTCCTTCCCTCATAGAAGCGATTCTCTACACCAATCCTCATTAAACTTGGGGGGCTGGGGATTTAGCTCAGCGGCAAAGCGCCTGCCTGGCAAGCACAAGGTCGTGAGGTCAGTTCCCGGTACCAGAGAAAAACCAAAAAAAAAAAAAAAAAAAAAAAAAAACCTCAGTAAACTTGCTCACCAAACTCCATTTCAGAGTCTGCTTCCCCTTGAAAACCTGAATTAAATCAAGCAAGCACTGTGCTGACAAGGCACTGCTGTTGAGCAAGATTGGCACATTTTTGTACAAGGCCACCGAGGATGTGTTCTAGGATTGTTGAGCCATGTGTTCTCTGTCACACCGACTCAACCCTCTCGTTCTCAACGGAAAGCAGCCATAGGCAGCACATAAATGACTGGGTTTGGGTGTTTCCAATAAAAATTAACTTTATGGACATTGAATGTGAATTTCATGTAACTTTCACACGTTATAAAACATTGTTTTGTTTCATAGCCCATTATCACCATATTTGCTTGCTGCCTTAAGGGCCTCTCTCTATGCAGGATTACATCCAAAAATCCCAGACATCATATTTCATATCTGTATATTTCAGAAAGATTTGAAAGACAAAAGCTGCCTTTGAAAAATGTAACTATGCCAGGGGCGGTGGCACACACCTGTAATCCCAGCACTCTGGAGGCTGAGGCAGGAGGATTGTTGCAAGTTTGAGGTCAGCCTGGGCTACAAAGTGAGCTCAAGACCAGCCTGAACTGCATAGCAAGACCTTGTCTCAAAAAGACAAAAAAACAAACAAAAAAACCCCATAAAAATGTAACTACTTGGGGCTGTGGATTTAGCTCAGCAGCACAGTGCCTGCCTGGTGAGTGCGAGGTCATGAGTTCGATTCCCAGTACTGGAAAACAAACAAACAAAAAATGTAACTACTCTACTACCATCACAAATATGCAAATCTTTAATAACAAATGCCTAGGGGTCATATTTCCTCTATTGTTTTATAAATATTAATTTTGTTTTTTGAACTTTGAAATGGTATCAAAACAAGATCTCATTTAATCAATAAATGATTATTTACAGATAAATAAATAATCCTTCTTTTATAAATAAATCAATCCTTTATTAAAGATAAATAAATCCTTCTTTGCTTTCATATTTCATGTACTTTTATTGTTGTTGATAAAAGAGGTAATTCTTCAATTTTAAAAAACATTTAAAAATAAAAAAAGAGGGGCTGGGGATTTAGCTCAGCAGCACAGCGCCTACCTGGCAAGCACGAGGTCATGAGTTCGATTCGCGGTACCAGAAAAAAATAAATAAATAAATAAAAATAAACATTAAAAAATGTATTCTTAACCCACAGGCATTCAAAGCAGGCAACAGGGTAGATTTGGCCAATGAGCCATAGTTTACTAAATCCTGAGCTGGAAGAAAGTGTTAGAAGCTACCATGGTAGTAAATGAATTTAATATATGGTACAGAACTTGATAACATGATACCCTAGGAGGATATGATACCCTAGGTTAACATATAACCTCCTTTTGAGGATATAAAAGAGCTTTTACTGGCTCCAGATCAAGAGAACGAAAAGGAGAGAGAAATGGGTAAAAAGTAATAATATTCATAATTACATTTAAAACTTGATGCTACCGAGAAAATCATGCATAGCAAAATAGAACTAAATGTTTCATATTCACACTGTGGTGCCTTTTCATTTAGACAACTTCATCTCCACCAGTAGAACAAATTAGGGAATATGAGTGGCTACTATATTGAATATTGTGACTATAGCAATAACTAAGTGATCATTCAAAAATAAAAACACAATATTAAGTTGATACAGCTTTAATATTTACAAAGTATATCTAAATGATCTACTGATACAGAATAGAAAGATATACAATCATATACTTCATTTTTTATTTCTTTGTCTTTTTGAGACAGGGTCTCACTATGCAGTTCAGGCTGGCCTTGAGCTCACTTTGCAGCCCAGGCTGGTCTCAAATTCTCAAGGATCCTCCTGCCTCAGCCTCCCGAGTGCTGGGATTACAGCTATGCGCCACCACACCCGGCTATAATCATATACTTTTAAAAGTGTTTGAACTTGTTTCTCCACCCAAATATAGATACCTTCTGCAGTCCATTTCCCTCAAGAAGAAAGAATTCAAATGAATTTATTTTGGAGATATATATATATATATATATCCTGAAACATTTGGTCTTTTAAATTTGCCATAGTGTTTGTTTTACTTTGTTTCTCTTTGTTTTCCAATTTTTTTCCTGGTATCAAAAAAAACTGTAAACCAATTTTTATATTCCCTTTTCTTTTCTGACCATTTTTATTTGTACTTCATTATTGTACAAATTTCTCTTTGAAATCATTCCTTTTGGCTCCTTTTCCCATAGTTCTTCATCATGGGTAGTATTATGAGATTTCTCCTTCACTTACACCTCACTTCCAACCAACCTTTGCTTCTCTAGCTCATGACTCCCTTTCACAACCCGCTCCTGCACATTCTCAGAATGAATGAACACAGTGTTCCTTTGGATTTGAGTAACTGAGGGGAATGGAAGCATGGATCCATGAATCATCTCTACTGATTCACATTGCTATACTGAGAAATATGGAGACTAGGAGTGCTGATCTCAGTGGACACTAACTGTAACAGGCGGCCAATGACTATATCCCTGGCTTTTGAAGTCTCCAGGTTCTTCTCTCTGGACACGTGAAGACTAATTTGGTCCACATTTGTCATGATGAGTTCAGATGCCAGGATCTGGGTAGGAGAACTGTCGTGAAACATGTTGTCCATAATGTACTGCTTATATAATTCCACCACCTTCTGCTCCAGGTACTCATTCAGCACCGCATTTGAAATAGGCTTCTGCATTTGCAGGCTGCTTTTCTCTTTGATACTGGTTATTCTCCAGTACGATGAATGCCGCTGAACAGGCTTTTGGGGGAAGTCGATGGACTGAGTGGAAAGGGAATCTTCCATGGACAAAGGAATCTCAGATGACTTCAGCAAAGGACCATATTCAAAACTGCTCTCAGAGGGAAAATCTGTTGTCACAGAGTTAATGGCCATCACCTGGCCTCCTGCAATTTGCAAGTCATTATAATTCTTGCAAATACTTTTGCAGGAAGGTGGAACTAAATAGGTTTCTCTGCTAGGGTCCCTGTATATTTCAACTGCAGCCAAGTTTGGTCTTTCAAACGCAGGATTTGGATTTGTCTGAAGCACTGTGACTCTCTGGCTTATGCCCCGTTGGCTCTCTCTGGAATGCACTGGAGAAATGAACTTGCCAGAGGACTTGCAGCTCACATAAAGACTTCTGACTTGTGTTTCATCCACAGAGGAATACGAAAGAGCAGCAACAGAACTTGTCTCCTCCTCCTTTTCTTCAGTCACCTGCTCATTGTAAGTTGCACAGTTCCAGTGGATGTCATTCCAGTAGGCCAGTCCACTGAGGTACCCTTCAGACAGCATTCTGGAAAAAGAATTGATCAGTAACTTTGGAGAAAAAGAAGACTGAAATTTTAAAATTTTAGCAGTTGATATATCAAAAAAAAGAAAAGGCTGATGAATGAATTCACTCCGTTCACTCACCAAGCCGTTACTAATCCTGCTACATTCTAGAATTATGGCATGTCCAGGAAATATAAAGATGAAAGGATACAGTGCCATTTTTTCAGGAAGTTTCCCACTATGGGAAAAAATAAGCTGGGTAGAAATAATTCCAATTTGATATCATTTAGAACTATAATAGTGGGCCAGGGATATAGCTCA